ATATAAAAAGCAGTTCTCTTTTAAGGAGAGAACACTTCATACTACCATGTTAGAAACTAATGAATGGATTGGGAAATATAGAGACCAGCGTAGGCTAGCACATTTCACTAAACTGAGCACAAGCAAACACAAACCAAAATTGGATTAAATATATTTAATGAATCCCAAATAAAATATTGGTGAATAAAATCCAACAATATGTAGAAAGAATACTAGCTTCATGATCAAGTAACATTTATCGCTGGACTGTTAGGATAGTTCAGTTTTAGAAAATTTTTTATATATTAATAAGAGAAAACTATATAGTTGATTAGATTTGGAGACAGCATTTGCTATATCTGTTTCTAATTTTTTTTCCAAAAAAACCCTTTCTATCAACTTTAATTCAATGAAGGAAAATTACTGAAATCTATAACAAGCATCACATGTAATAGTGAAAGAAAAATATTCTCATACTAGCTCCAAAATTGGTCACGTTGCATTGAAGGGTCTAACCAGAGCAATGAGACAAATACATGAAGTGTAAATATTGGAGAGTAGGAATTAAAACCATTTTATTTAAAGACTGCTAGGTTGCCTACATGGATAATCCAACAGGATAAACTGTTAAAATTAACGATTGTTTAGTCACTAGAAACAAAATCCCCAGTAATAACTAGTAAAGCAACAGAAACCCAATTCACAAGAACCTCTAAACTAATAGAATACCTAGGACTGAACTTAAGATATTCAAAAGTTACATGGAGAAAACTCAAATTTTTCTAAGGCTTAAGAAAAGCTATCAATAAATGTACATCTGTGTTCCTAGGTGAGAAGAATGTTGACTCTCCCAAATCTATAAATTCAAGGCAATCACAATGAAAAATTTCAGAAGGTTTTAATGGAATTTGACAAGTGGCTTCTCAGATTCTTCTGGAGGGACTGGTGCTGTGGCATAGCAGGTAAAGCTGCCGCCTGCAGTGCTGGCATCCCATATGGGTGCTGGTTCGAGTCCTGACTGGTCCCCTTTGGCCTGAGAAAACAGTAGAAGATAGTCCAAGTGCATGGGCCCCTGCATGCACATAGGAGACCCAGAGGGAGCTCCTGGCTCCTGGCTTTGGATCTGATTGGCACAGTTCTGGCCTTTGCGGCCATCTAGGGGGGTAAGCCAGCGGATGGAAGACCTCCCTCCCTCCCTCCCTCTCTCTTCCTCTGTCTGCCTCTCTAACTCTGTCTTTCAAATAAGTTAATTAAAAATAAATAAAATTCTTCTGGGTAGAAAATGAAAAACAACAAGAAGTGGAGAATTTGTCCTGCCGGATACTAAAACAGTGGTAAAGCTACCATAATTATAATCCATCGTTGGAATAGGAATAAACAAATTAATGAAGAAGAATAGAGTTCAGAATCTGTCCCATGTACTAAAGGAATTTAGTTTATGATAAAGGTAGAATTTCTAAGTAGTGGGAAAATGAAGGATTATTAGAAAAGTAGTTCTGGGCAGCTGGCACTGTGGCTCAGTTAAGCCACAGCCTATAGCACTGACATCCCATACGGACGCCAGTTCAAGTCCCCACTGCTCCACTTCCAAGCCAGCTCCCTGCTAGTGTGCCTGGGAAATTAGCAGAGGATGGCCTAACTCCTTGGGCCTCCACAGCCATGTCAGAGACCTGGAAGAAGTTCCTGGCTCCTGGCTTTGGCCTGGCCCAGCCCCACTTGTTGCAGCCATTTGGGGAGTGAACTAGTATATGGAAGATTTCTTTCTGTCTTCTCCTCTCTTTCTGTAACTCTGCCTTTCAAATAAATGTATTTATTATATTTCAAATAAATATATTTATTTATTTGGAAGGCAGAATTAGAGGGAGAGACAGAGAAAGAGAGGTCTTTCATCCACTGATTTACTCCCTAAATGAACACAATGGCTGGAACTGAGCTGATCTGAAGCTATGAGCCACAAACTTCTTCTTGGTCTCCCACATGGGTGCAGGGGCCCAAGGCCTTGGACCATCTGCTTTTTCAGGCCATAGCAGAGATCTGTCTCAGAAGTAGATCTGCTGAGACTCCAACCGGTGCTCATATGGGATTCTGGCACTGCAGGCAGTGGCTTTACCTGCTATGCCACAGCGCTGGCCCCAAATAAATAATTTTTTTTAAAGATTATGTATTTGAAAATCAGAGTTACACAGAGAGAGAAGGAGAAACAGAGAGAGAGAGAGAGGTCTCCCATCCACTGGTTCACTCCCCAGTTGGCCGCAATGGCTGGAGTTGCGCTGATCTGAAGCCAGGAGCTTCTTCCAGGTCTCCCACGTGGGTGCAGGGGCCCAAGAACTTGGGCCATCTTCCACTACTTTCCCAGGCCATAGCAGGGAGCTGGATCAGAAGTGGATCCGCTAGGACTTGAACTGGCACCCATATAGGATGCTGGCATTGCAGCTGGCAGCTTTACCCGCTATGCCACAGCGCCAGCCCCAATAAATCTTAAAGATCCTTTTGGGAAAATCTATAAGGGAAGAAAAATGTGAATCCCACATCATACCATTCAAAAATAAATTCCAAATTAATTAAAAATCTGCATTATAAGAGTATTAGAAGAAAACAAAGGGCATTATCTTTATTACGATTGGGTGGGAAAAACCCAGATGTCCTTTTCTTATGAAAAGACAGATATTAATAATAAATTCACAACTCCTCATATGAGCAGTGAAAGACTGGGGAATATATTTTCACATATAATAACCAAAGTATATGAAAAATTTCTAAAATGTATGATAAAGACTAGAATATATAAAGAGTTCCTAAAAATATGTGACAAAAATAAGCTAAAGAATAAATAACAAAGATATGAGATCATTCTCGGGAGAGGAAATACAAATATTCCAATAAATATTTTAGGAGATCCTCAACCTCACTAGCACTCAGGGAACTATAAACAGAGAGAAACTATTTTTTTTTTCCTATCAAATTTGGTGAAGCTAAGCTTGATAATATCTAATGCTGAAGATAGTACTGGTAGAGCTAGAACACTTTCATTTTGTTTGATGAGAATATAAATTGATCTTTCTTAGGGAACAATTTGGCAACATCAGAATTTTATTTGTTTAAAGACTTATTTGCTTGCAAGTCAGAGTTACACAGAGAGAGGAGAGGCAGAGAGAGAGGGAGAGAGGGAGAGAGAGAGAGAGAGAGAGGTCTTTCATCCAATAGTTCATTCCCCCATTGGCCACAACGGCCAGAGCTGCGCCGATCCGAAGCCAAGGAGCCAGAAGCTTCCTGGGTCTCTCACACTGGTGCAGGGGCCCAAGGACTTGGGCCATCCTCCACTGCTTTCCCAGGCCACAGCAGAGAGCTGGATCTCTGCCACAGCAGAGATGCTGGTGCCTCAGGCCAGGGTGTTAACCCGCTATGCCACAGTGCTGGCCCCAGCATCAGAATTTTTTAACTGTGTATCCTCCTGGACTCATTAATTCAAGTTGTCTGTCCTAAGTATATGTCATTGTCACAATTATGGTCATCTTTTTTAAAAATTGGAATAACAGGCCGGCGCCGCGGCTCACTAGGCTAATCCTCCGCCTTGCGGCGCCGGCACACCGGGTTCTAGTCCCGGGCGGGGCGCTGGATTCTGTCCCGGTTGCCCCTCTTCCAGGCCAGCTCTCTGCTGTGGCCAGGGAGTGCAGTAGAGGATGGCCCAGGTGCTTGGGCCCTGCACCCCATGGGAGACCAGGAAAAGCACCTGGCTCCTGGCTCCTGCCATTGGATCAGCGCGGTGTGCCGGCCGCAGCGCGCTGGCCGCGGCGGCCATTGGAGGGTGAACCAACGGCAAAGGAAGACCTTTCTCTCTGTCTCTCTCTCTCACTGTCCACTCTGCCTGTCAAAAAAAAGAAACAAAGAAACTAGACGATACAGACTGACGATAAAAAAAATTGGAATAACAATAGGAGACTTGTTAAATATAATTTTAGTATACATGCTGTAAAATGTCTTATACCTCTTAAACAGTATAGATAGGTCTGTATGTATGCTTTGCTTTGAAGTATGAATTGCTTTCTAGGGTGCATTGTTTAATAAAGTGTCAAGACAATATGAATAGTGTGATATAGTGAGTAAAATAAAATTAAGCTATTTTCTATGCATTTTATAGATGTATAAATAGCTATACTGAAGTAAAATGAACTATAGTTCATTCCTTACAAAATTAAGATTCCAAAAATCAAACAGGAATAATGATCTTCACTTATGCCTCTTAAGAGCTTAAAAAAATCAGGAGCAGGTGTTTAACCTAGTTGTTAAGACATTTGCATACCATGATGAATATCTTTTTTTTTTTTGACAGGCAGAGTCAGACAGTGAGAGACAGAGAGAAAGGTCTTCTTTCCATTGGTTTACCCCCAAAATGGCTGCCATGGCTGGTGTGCTGCGCCGATCTGAAGCCAGGAGCCAGGTGCTTCTTCCTGGTCTCCCATGCGGGTGCAGGGCCCAAACACTTGGGCCATCCTCCGTTGCACTCCCTGGCCACAGCAGAGAGCTGGCCTGGAAGAGGAGAAACCAGGACAGAACTGACGCCCCAATCGGGACTAGAACCCAGGTGCTGGCGCCGCAGCTGGAAGATTAGCCAAGTGAGCTGTGGCACTGGCCATATCTTGTTTTTTTTAACTCCAAGGTCCAGCTCCTGACTCCAGTTTCCCACCAGTACAGGGAGGTAGTGGTGATGTTCAAGTAACTGAGTTCCTGCCACCCAAGTTGGGGAAACTGGATTACATTCCCAGTGCCCATCTTTGGCCCTGGAGGGTGCCACTGCAAACAGGGGGTGACCCAGTGACGGCAAGCCCTCTCTGATGCTCTGCCTCTCGAGTTAAAAAAAAAAAAAAAGAATACATTATCTAGATGGTTGTTCACTATTCTTTTTTCTCTTTATTCTTTGCTTTCCCGAATGAATTTTAGGATCAACTTGCAAATTCCGGGAAAAACCTCAATTGATATTTTTATTCATTTAATTGATTATTAAATTGTCTCTGTCTCTGTAGACTGAAAGCTCCTTGATGACAAAAGATTGCATCTGTCTTGTTCATCACTGTGTTCCCAGTATCTGGCATATAGTAAGTACTCAAAAAATATTTGTAGAATGGTTGAGTGGGTGAGAATGTGGATGAATGATCAACAATAACAGGATGACTGAATATAAAATATTTTGAAGGCATTTAAATTTTTATTTTCAAGGTAGAGTTAATTGTGGGAAAATGTTCACAACACATAAGTGAAAAAAGCATAACTTTTTAAATAAAATGATCCTCTGTTGTAAGATAGATATAATGTTTGTATATGCATAAAAAATTAAGAAAGTTAAAACTGAATGCTAAAATTACAGATCATTGTTATACTTTTCTAAATTTTCTATAGTTAGTACATAATTTCAGAGTAAAATAATAGATGGAACTAGGAATAATTAAATGAAATAAAATATAATATTTAAAGTGTATATGGCAGTATGGAACACAGGTACTCTCCTAATTCCAGAAATACAGTTGATTAGGTTAATTTAAATATTCTAGATAAGGTTGGAGTTTGTCAGTTGGCCAAAGTTATTTTTTAAACTTTTTTTCTTTACTTGAAGTATAACATACATACAAAAGAGAGCATGAACCATAAAGTGTTCAGCCCAGTAATTTTTTACAAAGCAAACATACTGTGTAACCACTGCAGGTCCTGGAACAGGGAACCGTACGGTCCCAGAAGTCCCCTCCCAGTCACTGGGTCCACTACCCTCCACAGAAACATTGGCCAGGTTCCAAAGGACCCCCAGGCTCAGCTGCTAGCCTTCTGGGGAAGTAAATAGGAACAGCTAGAGGGAGAGGAGAGCCCCAGGCCCAGGCCAGCCTGCCTCCTGAGTGGCAAGTGCCTGGCCAATCCAAGATTATCTAAAGGTAGAATGTGGAAACAAATAAAACGCACAGACACCTGCAGGCTCATCTTCTCTTCTTTTCCTCCACTGCATCTTCCACTGTGACCCCGGGGAAGGGGAGGAGTCAAATGCCACCTCAGGAAGAAGGATGTGAGGCAGGAAGCGACTTGTGAGAATAAGCTCACTTCTTGCTCTTTGGGGTGGTGGGAGGACGGTGGGAGTGGGGTGGGGAGATGAGAAAGTCATCTGATGTGTGTGACTTGCGTATTTTTTCCCTCCAGGCAGCAATCTGGAATGCACTTCTAGGTTTTGATAGGTTGGCAGGGATTGTCTTAGTCCCTTTTGGCTGCTGCAAGGAACCACCCCTAGTCTGAGTAGCTGGCAAACAGCAGAAATAGATTTCTCACAGTCCTAGAGACTGGGAAATTGAAGATCAAGGAGCCAGCAGCTACGGTGTCTAGTGAGGGTCTACTTCCTTAAAAGAGACCTGTCTTTTCACTGTCACCTCACAAGGGCCTGTACAAGGGCACGAACTCCATTCTTGAAGGCTCCCAAAGGCAGTGCCTCCTAGTATATAGCGCGGGGGAAGGGCGTAGTTAGGATTCCAGTATATGGATTTTGGGGGGACACAAATATTTATACCATAGCAGGGCTGCCCAAAACAGAAGATCCAGCTTCCACCTGGATGCCTCACAAGGTGGGCCTCTTCATCCCTGCCACGGACATGAAGTGGCTACAAGGAGTGAAATAAATGGCATGGCATGGTTAGGCAGAGGGGGCCTGGGCAGGATTTCCTGGATCTTCTCCATCGGTTCCTGGGGGCAGTGGTTCTCAAGGGAGGCAGAAAGGAGGACTATTCCAAAGTGGGCATGGGGGCAGCATTTTCGGTTGTCGCAGCGAGGAGATTTCACTGGGTAAGGAGTTCTTCGGGATCGGAACCTCTTGCAAGGCAAGGGTTGCCTGCACGGCGGACATTCACCTGTCCTCAGTGGCTGGGTCACTCCCACTGAGCAGCTGGAATTGGAATTGCTGAGGAATTGTGCCTCCTCTATTTTTACCGCATGGAGAAAGAATTCAGGAATTTATGCCTACAAAAGAAAATAATAGACTAGTCTTCCACAGTTTGATTGGGAAGTTAGGGGTGCTGTTATCATGGGTCGCTCCCCAAGTACAGAAGTTCTTAGTTATTCTTTATATGCTTACAGATTATGAAACAAGCCCTGCTCTGGGCTTACAGCAGTTTTGTGACTGGAGAAACCAGCTGGGCCACCAAGGAGTAATTTTTAAATAACTCAGATTTTTCCTTCTGTTTCTCAGATATGCCGAAAGGTATACATAACCTTCAGCAGCAGTTTTTTTGAATCAAACCTCAGCTCTTCATTCTCATCCATTCCTCACATCTGGTCTGTTCTTTTTCCTCTTTCAAATAAAAACTGAAAAAAGAAGTTCTCTTCTCTGTCTCATTCCCCTAGCCTCCTTTTTTCTTGAAAAGTGGGGTGATAGAAAAAGGCAGAGTGACAGAGGTTGTCATCCTTCACTTACCAGATGCTCACAATAGCCAGAAATGGGCCAGGCTGAAGCCGGGAGCTAGGAACTCTATCCAGATCTCCCATGTGGGTGGCAGGGAACCAAGCACTTGAACCATCTTCTGCTGTCTTCCCAGCTCATCAGCTGGACTCACACCAGGCACTCTAATGTAGCAGGGATCCTAAGAGGTGGCTTAACTTGCTGTACCACAGAGCCAGCCCTTCCCTTTTTTAGTCTCTGTTGCTATAGCTCATAGGACCCACTTTGGAGCAGGCAGGAGAGAATACTTGTAAGTGAGCTGACATAGGATACTCGTGTATGCTTTACTTCCCCTTGGTTAATTTTGGCAGATAGCCCCTCTCCAGTAAAAATGTCCAATATTTAATGTGCTTTTCCTCCTCCCCATAAACTGCCTCTGGGACCTCACTTGAGAATATATAAATTGGTAAGAAAAAAATGAGCTCTATAGTAGAAAAGGGAGTTGACTAAGCTGAGGGAACTCATAAACAAAGGAATAGATCATTAATGAGCTCTTCCCACTAAAAGTCCTCCCTTATTGCTATTTGAGAAACTGCAAAACTTTTCGAAAGATTTGTTTATTTACTTATTTGAAAGGCAGAGTGACACGGAGGAGAGACAGAGAAAGGTCTTCCATCCACTGTCACTCCTAGATGGCTGCAATAGCCATGTCTGGGCCAGGCTGAAGTTAGTAGACAGAAGTACCATCTGGGTCTCCCACGTGGATACAGGCACCCAAGCACTTGGGCCATCTTCTGCTGCCTTCTCAGGTGCATTAGCAGGGAGCTGGATTGGAAGTGGAGTAGCTGGGACTTGAACCTGTGCTTTGATATGGGATGTGGCTTCAGAAATGATGGCCTAACCTGCTGTGCTGCAACACTAGCCCACAAATATTTTTGCCTCTCAAACTAACAAAGTAAAATACTGAATTAATTAAAATGCCCGGGGATCGGCCTGTGGCACAGCAGGTTAAAGCCCTGGCCTGAAGCGCTGGCATCCCATGTGGGCACCGATTCTAGTCCTAGCTGCTCCACTTTCGATCCAGCTCTCTGCTATGGACTGGGAAAGCAGTGGAAGATGGCCCAAGTGCTTGGGCCCCTGCACCTGCGTGGGAGACCTGGAAGAAGACCCTGGTTCCTGGCTTTAGATCGGCACAGCTCCGACCGTTGCGACCATCTGGGGAGTGAACCAGTGGATGAAAGACCTTTCTCTCTCCCTCTGCCTCTCCTTCTCTATCTGTGTAATTCTGCCTTTCAAATAAATAAATCTTTTTAAAAAAATTAAAAAATGCTCACGGTGCTGTGGCTTAGTGGGTAAAGCCGGCATCCCATATGGGCACCAGTTCTAGTCCTGGCTGCTCTGTTTCTGATCCAGCTCTCTGCTATGGCCTGGGAAAGCAGTAGAAGATGGCCCAAGTGCTTTGGCCCCTGCAACCACGTGGGAGACCCAGAAGAAGCTCCTGGCTTCAGATTGGTGCAGCTCTGGCCGTTGCGACCAACTGGGGAGTGAACCAGGAGATGGAAGACCTTTGTTTCTCTCTCTCTGCCTCTCCTTCTCTGTATAATGCTGACTGTCAAGTATATAAATAAATATTTAAAAATAAATTTTAAAGAAGTGCCCGGTGTTGGAGTAGGTTCAAAAAATGAATGATCACATGACTCAGCAGTACTACTTGTAAATACATACCCCAGAGAAGTGAAAACATATGTTCCCACACACAAAAAACTTGTATATAAATATTCATGGCAGCATTATTCATATTAATAGTAAAAATGAAAGCTACCTGAATCTTCAACTGATAAATAAATAGAAAAGTAAGATGCATCATATTCTTTTTCTTAAAAATAGATCTTTATTTATTTGTTTTGAAAGTCAGAGTTCACACAGAGAGGTATCTTCCATCTGTTTGTTCACTCACCCAGGTGACTGCAGTGGCTCCCGCTGGGCCAGGCTCAAGCCGGGAGCTTTATGCAGGTTTCCCACATGGGTGGCAGGAGCCCTAACACTTGGGCCATCCTCTTCTGCTTTCTGAGGCTGTTAGCAAGAAGCCCAGTCAGAAGCAGAGCAGCGGGGACTTGTACTGGCACCCTTATAGGATACCAGTGCTGCAGGTGGCAGCTTTACCTGCTTTGCCATAGAGTCAGCCCCATGGTATATTATTACCATGGAATATTATTCATCAATAAAAAAGGAACAAAATACTGATAAATGTTGTTGTATAGGTGAACCTTGAAAACATTGTTAAATGAGCCATTCACAAGACAACATATTTTAGGATTCTATACATAACAGGCAGATCTATAAAGACCAAAAGCTGATTAGTGATTGGGGTTGGGAATTGTGGGGAAATAGGAATGACTGTGGGTAAGGGGTTTCTTTTTTTGGGGTGATGAATATGTTCCAAAATTGATTATGATAATGGTGGTATAACTTGATAAATATACTAAAAACCATTGACTCATATATTCTCAATGGATGAATTGTGTGCTATGTAGATTATAACTCCATAAAGCTATTATAGAGTTAGTGGTGGAGTTTGTTAAATGAAGACCTTTTTTTGGAGAAAATCAAAACAGCTTACTTTAATATGCCCAGCCAGGAGCCAGACTCAGTAAAGGTCTCCCATGTGGGTGGCAGGAACCCAATTACCTGAGCCATGATCTTTGCCTTCCAGGTTCTGCATTAGCAGGAAGCTGGAATCAGGAGGTGGAGGCAGGAGTCTGTCTAACCCGGGCACACTGCTGTGGGATGTGGATGTCTTAACTGCTAGGCTAAATGCCTGCTCTGTGAGATGCATTTTGAGGATGCATCAGATTTCTTTCTGGAATGAGATGGTTGGATTTGATCACTGGCTGGAATAGGAGAAACACATTTAGACTGATAAAACAGAGGGGTTTTGTTTTTAAGATTTATTTATTTGAAAGAGTGACAGGGAGAGCTTCCATCTGCTGCTTCACTCCTGAAATGGCTGCAACGGCCAGGGGAGGGGCCAGGCCAAAGCCCGGAACCTGGAACGCCATCTAGGTTTCCCATGTGGGTGCACTTGGGCCTTTGTCTTCTGCTTTCCCAGGTACATTAGCAGAGAGCTGGATCAAAAGTGGAACAGCTGAGGGGCCGGCGCAGTGGCTCACTTGGTTAATCCTCTGCCTGCGGTGCTGGCATCCCAAATGGGCACCGGGTTCTAGTCTCAGTTGCTTCTCTTCCAGTCCAGCTCTCTGCTGTGGCCCAGGAAAGCAGTGGAGGATGGCCCAAGTGCTTGGGCCCCTGCACCCGCATGGGAGACCAGGAGGAGGTGCCTGGCTCCTGGCTTCGGATCGACTGCGCCGGCCGTAGCAGCCATTTGGAGGGTAAACCAACGGAAGGAAGACCTTTCTTTCTTTCTTTCTTTCTTTCTTTCTTTCTTTCTTTCTTTCTTTCTTTCTTTCTTTCTCTCTCTCTCTCTCTCTCTCTCTCTCTCTCTCTCTCTCACTGTCTAACTCTGCCTAATAAAATTAAAAAAAAAAAAGTGGAACAGCTGGGACTTGAACCAGTGCTCATTTGGGATGCTGGCATCGCAGGCTGTGGCTTAACTCACTGTACCACAATGTGGGCCCCCATAAGATTTATTTATTTATTTATTTGAAAGGCAGAGTTATTGAAAGAGAAGGAAAGAGAGAGAGAGAGAGAGAGAGAGAGAGAGAGAAATATCTTCCATCTACTGGTTCACTCCCCAAATGGCTGCCGAAACTTTACTTGAATCTTTTCTTTATTGTTTTTGTCTGTCGGACAGCAGAGTGACAGTGAGAGAGAGAGAGAGAGAGAGAGAGAAAGGTCTTCCTTTGCCGTGGGTTCACCCTCCAATGGCTGTCGCGGCCGTAACAGTGTGGCTGGCGCACCATGCTGATTCGAAGCCAGGAGCCAGGTGCTTCTCCTGGTCTCCCATGCGGGTACAGGGCCCAAGGACTTGGGCCATCCTCCACTGCACTCCCGGGCCACAGCAGAGAGCTGGCCTGGAAGAGGGGCAACTGGGACAGAATCTGGCACCCCAACCAGGACTAGAACCCGGTGTGCCGGCGCCTATTGAGCCGCGGCGCTGGCTTACTTGAGTCTTACACATGGGTGCAGGGACCCAAGGACTTGGGCCATCTTCCACTGCTTTCCCAGGCGCATTTGCAGGGAGCTGGATTAGCAGTGGGGCAGCTGGGACTCAAACTGGCACCCATAAGGGCTGCTGGTGCTGCATGGTCCACTTTAAGTGAACAACTTTAGAGTCTCTCCTTCCTGACAGAGTGAAGAGATTTTTGGAGAGGAAAAGAACAACAATATCAAAAGTCCTAGAAAGATGCACTTTTAAAGGAGAATAAGAGCATACTAATACTCAATGCACATGATAACTTAATAAATTAAATAAATTATGGTGATTAAATAGTTTGATAATTGAAGTAATTTTTATAATATTATTTTTTAAGATGTAAGATGTAAGATTTGGAATCAGACCTAGCCTCATATTTTTCTAGTAATAGAGTTAATGTTTATGTAAATTTTAACTGCTTAGACTGGAAAATATAATATCATTGTTCCTTATCTTTTCTTACAGAAAGAAGACTAGGCATTAGGTCAGTGGCTTTAATGAAATAAGAATTTGTGACTCCATGTGTCACATGGTCAGCCCTTACCTTTTATTTGGCATCTGGTTTCTTGCATTACAAATGCCAGCCAATGAGATCGTGCACATATGAGAGAGGTCACAGCTCTCTACAGCTATAGATTTCAGTTCTGATATTTTATGCAGCAGTATCTTTGTACACTGTAAGGTAGAAGAGAAGGTACTAGACAGGTTCCTGGAAGTTAGTGGCCGTACGTAGTGCTTTCAGAGGTGAGAAGATGTGAAATCACTGAGCAGACAGTAACTTCGGGAGGGCAAGGAGCTTTAAGTGCCCCCAGCACTGCAGAGTGCTGCATGCTTGGAGTCTTGTAGTCTGTAAAGATTAGGTGTGCAGGATTGAGGGCTGAGCTAGCAGTAAGGAAGCAGAACTGAGCTGCTTCTGCAGAGTGAGACCCAGGACTTTAGGCAGGATGTAGGAGACTATAGAGGTGAAGGGACCTGAAGAAGAGATGGCTGCCTGTGGCCTTCAACTTGTGGACTAGTCACAGTGTAGAAGTGAGATGGGTGGAGCCAGTGTTGTGGTGTGGTGGGTAAAGCCACCACCTGCAACACTGGCATCCCATATGGGCGCCTGTCCAAGTCCTGGCTGCTCCACTTCTGATCCAACTCCCGCTAATGTGCCTGAGACAGCAATGGAAAATAGCCCAAGTCCTTGGGCCCCTGCACCCAATGGGAGACACAGAGGAAGCTCCTGGCTCCTGGCTTAAGCCTGGCCCAGCCCCAGCTGTTGTAACCATTTGGGGAGTGAACCAGCAGATGGGAGATATACCTTTCTATCTCTGCCTCTCTTTCTCTAATTCTGCTTTTCAAATAAAATAAACCTTTTTTAAAAACCTGAGGTGGATGAGCCTCTTGCCATTGCTAGTTGTACTAGCTTCCTGTGGCAGCCATTACAAATGGCCACACGTTGGTGGCTTAAAACAATAAGAATTTATTCTCTCAAGGTTTCTGGAGTCCAAAAGTTCAAAATTAACATGTCAACAGGGCTGTGTTCCTTTTGCAATTTCAAGGGAAGAATCCTTCTTTGTCTCTCCCAGCTTCTGGGGGCTCTAGGCATTCCTCAGCTTGCTTGGTTTATGGCCACCTCACTCCGATCTCTTCTTGGCCTTCTCAGAGCCTTCTCCTCTGCGTGTCTCTCCTCTATCTCTCCAATACAGTGGTCTTCAAAAAGTTCATGGAAAAACTATGTGTGAATTTCAATTTTTCCCCCAAGATAAGCTAATTTTTTGATTCTGTTTTTCCATAATTTTTTGAAGTCCCCTCATAAGGACATTTGTCATTGCATTTAGAGTATGGATAATCCAGGACATTCTGGCACTCCCAGATACCTACCAAATCTGCAAAGACTGTTTTTCTAGGTAGGGTAATACTTGCAGGTTCTAGGCATTTGATGGGGACCTGTCTTTTGGCGAATCTTGTGTGTCAGCTTCCCTGGGCCCTTGTACCCAGACTCAGGCCTACTCTGTGGGTTTGCCAGTGTGAGTGGTGTAGGTATGGGTGGGTATGTTTTCTCTCTGTCCCTGTCATCTTTTCAGGAGGCTGCATGAATAAATTGGATCAGGGCCTGAGTGGGCTGGCCACGCACATCCTTTCTCTTCACTACAGGCCTCCTTCCTTTTCATAACATTGCCTTGGGTTCTAGGCCCATGCACTGGTAAGATGCCAAGATTCAGATTTAGGGATAGGAGTTGAGAAGATGGCTACCTTTAGGTAAAACTGAGAGTTCTCACCCATCTTGATCAAACTATCAGATTTTGCACCCTGGGGTACCCTACTTTGCTCCAGCCAACACACTGACTCTTCCGTTCAATGTGATTGTCCAAGACCTCTTCTTCACGGAGACTTGATTCTGTCAATTATTTCCTTTGTCTTATGCATTTCAGTCTCTTCTCTCTCCAGGGGCCTTCCCCTATGTGCACCAGCATGTTCCTCTCTGGCAAAAACACAGACAGCCAATCCAACAAGTTCTTGCCACTGTCCTGCCCTTTGCATGCTGGTTTTGCTCTTTCTTCCCTCTCCTGACACTAAAATTGGAAGAGTGGGCTACCTGGAGTGCCAGCCGTCCACTCGTTCCTTCCTTGTTCCAGTGTGTCGTCAGGCCCCATCACCTTCCTGAGATTCCCTTCTAACAGTCAGCAGTGGCTTCCTATGCCCCACCCCCCCACTTCCACAGCCTCTGACACTACAGACCCTCCCAGACCCTCCCTTGGCCGCAGCACCAGATGGCCTTTTTTAGCTCTTCCTGACTCACCTCCTCTTCCCTAAGCGGGGTGCTGCAGGCTAGCCTCTGGCCTCTTTGCCTTCCTCCTTGCACTCAACCTCTCTTGGAGCAACCCCAGCTGTGCTGTCTTCTGTCGCATAGCACAGTATTCTAGCAGTCTTCACAAGACAAAGGCTGTAGCGGTCTGTTTCATTCTCATTCCATCTCAGAACCCAGAACTAAAGATAGAAATGTGACAAGCCTCATGGCAAGACTTCTGGGAAGTTCAGTGGAAAACAACTCAGGGTTTCAGTAGGAGGCGTTATCCTAGGAGCCAGTCAGCTCAGAAGAACAAAGATTCATAGACAGTGAGACGTTCTGGACCTGCCTCATTGCTTTCTGTGGACAGGAAGCTGGTCAGAAGAATGCCAGTCTGGGGAATGTGCAGACAGAGGCATCTGAGGTTCAGAGCAGTGTCGCTGAAAGGCGGTCATGACAGCCCTGGGTCAGGGAGGAGACTTGGACCACAGGAAAATGAAGTAAAACTAGTTAAGGAGCTACAGTTGGGACTGCAGGACAAAGAAGGGAGCCAGAGGCACCATACCTATGTCAGAAGGCCCCGAGGCCCTCACCAGATGCTGAGGGGAGAATAAAGGGCTGAGAAATGCTCTGTGATGTCTGTGGGACGACACTGGTTCCTGCTGCCTCCAGCACACTGACCCTGGTCACTAGGGCCTGGAAGCCCTTACAGATGTTCCTTTGTATCAAGCAGTAGCAAACCCTGTTTTTGTTTTTGTTTTTGTTTTTGTTTTTGTTTTTTTAAGATTTATTTGAAAGAACACAGAGCGAGATCTTCCATCTGCTAGTTAACTTTCCAAATGGCTGCAATGGCTGGGACTGTGTCAAGCTGAAGCCAGGAGTGAGGAGCTTCTTCTGGGTCTCCCACATGGGTGCAGGGGCCCAAGCATTTGGGCCATCTTCTGCTGCTTTCCTGTGTGTGTTAGCAGGGAGCTGGATCTGAAATGGAGCAGCCAGGACTTAAACAGTGCTCAAGTGAGATGCCAGTGCTGCAGGCCATGGCTTAAACCTTCTGAACCACAGCGTTGGCCCTGCAAACCCTGTTTTAAACCTCAGTGGGTCTGCCAGCGTAAAGGCCAGGCGGCATAAAGTTCCCTGCTTCACCATTCAGCAAACAGTTGCTCAGCAGAGGAGTGAAAGGTGCCTTCCTAGCGTCACATTCAGGTGCTTCTGGAAGCCCTAAGACCTTCAGTCTGCTTGGGCAGGCCTCCCAGAATGCAATTATAGCAGTAGGAGCAGGTGGGCTACTCAAACACCCCACAGGAATCCCCAGGTTCTGATCTATCACAGATTTCTTTGTTTTTTTTTTTTTTTTACATTTTATTTACATTATGAAAGTTTTATATATTTCAAATATACAGATTTAGTGACACTTCCCCCCACCTCTCTCACATTCCCACTCTTAATTTTTACAAATATCTCTTTTTAGTTTATTTAATGATTGTATAGTTAACTCTACACTAAGTAAAAGAGGTCAACAAATAATATGAAGAGGAAAAAAAGACACTCTTCCTCTGTGGAAGAGACAAGGGCTGTAAACAATCATCAAATCTCAAAATGTCTATTTCACTTTATACATTATATTTCAGGTACTCTATTAGTTACCTCGGATCAGGGAAACCATGATATCTGCCTTTTTGGGACTGGCTTATTTCACTAAGTATAATGGTTTCCAGTTGTGTCCATCTTGTTGCAAAAGACAGGATTTCTTTTCTTTTCTTTTTTTTCTAATTTTCTTTTTTACAGCTGAGTAGTACTCCACAATATATATACCATAATTTCTCTATCCAGTCA